ATGGTTAAAACTCATCTTGTTTTTCTGTTGCCACAAAATATACTTTTTCTCTTAAAAGGTACAATGAGATAAGATCCAATGTGGATATGGACTGTCGTATTACTTTGGTGGGAAATAAATTCGATCAACAACATATTCGAGCTGTTTCATCAAACGATGCTAAACAATTTGCTGACGAAAGAAATATGCAGTAAGTGTGATACTTTTTCTTTTGTCAGAATCAATATGTAGAATATAATTTTAAAAAGGTATATTGAAACATCAGCTTTGGATTCTACGAATGTTGAACAGGCTTTTCAAAATCTTATTGCTGATATTTGTCAACACTGGATACCTCCATCCTACTCATTACCAAAACCCGATTCACCACCTAAGCGTCGATGTTGTTTCTCATGAGCTTTTGTGTATCGTTATATTATTTACTATTTCTTAATTTGCTAAGATGAAAAGTATAAGAAAAAATTTGAATGCACGTCGTAACTTCTGACAACTGTTGTATGCTTACGCGGCGAGAAAAAACATGACGTTCGTAGAGATGGTATCAAGCATATCATTTATCCTTGTGTCAGATAGAGATTTTGGTGTGGTATATAGACTTTCAGTGTACACTAATAGTTTGTTTGATGCACTAAATTGAACTACCGAGATCATATCATATCCGTCCAGAAGAAGTATAGATAACGATTCATAATTATGAAGAACACTCGTTGTTGAATCACGAATTTCTATGTGAAGATCGGCGATAACTTTAATATTTATTCACAGCAAGTACGACACAAGTGTCGATGAACAATATTGATGTGTCGAAATATGAGTAGATGGGTATGAAGTGTTGATTTTGATGAAGAGAGAATCCTCATTCACATCGGAATCTCTACTGGCCAGACATTGCAAATAAAAGACAAGAACACTGAGCTTTCAATACGGGCAAAACTTGAAACGGTTATGGTAGATCTGAATGCTCACAGCAGCCAAGCAACAGTTCTCGTTGTTACGTTTTTCTAATGCTAACAATAGGGAAAGAAAATATTCATCGTCTCTCTCTGTCTCTTCAAGTGTTATTCAATTCTATGCATGATGCACTAGTGATATCCATAATAAAATTGAAGTTTTATATCGCTTCACTTGTTTATATCTGTGTGAAATATAAATTCGTTAAGATGTATTCGATATTACCTTTCACATTTTTCTCTAATTTGTAGAAGCAATCACCAATTTCATATGAATTGTTAAAACTGCTTATTGTATCACGACTTATCCATATGATTTAACGGCGACTTATGAAAATCATTTTTTTTGTGACGATAATCATGACGAGTCTCTATATTATTGGCGATTTCTTGAGCAAATCTGATAATTGTGATTTTACGCCGACTTCTTTTTAGAAATCGGGAAAGTTCCCATGATTTTCATGACATGGGGGACGATTCTAATCGATGTTGTGCATTCTTAAGGACAAGGTCTGTCATTGTTCGTCAACAAATACTCAACCATGTTTCGATGATGTTGAGTCATAAAAAAATGACGCAACACAGTTATCGACAACGCACGCTGCTGAGTCTTAGAGGTCTCAACTTGGCATCCCTTATAAATAGTGAACAAGTTTTAAAGAAGCTCGTCTTCCGTCATAATGCAACAGATAGTAACCCTGAACATGTGATATCAGAAGAAAAGAAAAAAACTAAATATGAGAACCTATGCTATTTGGTAAAAAAAAATGGTCATGATTTATGGAACACCTGTTAAAAGCAACAAGTTCCTTTCAATAAGTATCTCAATTAGAGAGAGAACAATGCATTTACTTGCATTTATTTTGCATAAATTTATCTGCATTGAAGCAATCAGTCTATTTAAATGCATTTACTAAGTATTAGCATAAAAAATGTTTTTCATTCCATTGAATATATATGATTTCATTTAAATGAATAAATAAGTGATTGTTCTTATTAGTCGATCGTTAGCAGGTGCAAATCCAAACTTCGATGATTTGACTTCATCTGTGCTTTTGATTAAGTATCTTGGACAATAAGAGAAAGGCTAGTTATCAGTGAATAAACAAATGACGGTAACAAAGAAAATGAAAGAAAAGAAACAAAAGTACAACGAGAAAATATCGAGAAAGAAAAAAGACCAGCAATGGTAAAGAGTCACGGAAGTTCTCTCACTAATGCTAATCTTTTTTCTAAATCACATCAATCAATTTGTTTCTTCTACAATTAACTATAGACTTCTTCGAATATCGAAATAAACAAATGATAGACATCTTCAGCTTAGAAAGATTTAATTGCATAAAAGAGGGTGTGGGTGTGAGTGCAGCATTGAACTTCACCTATACCTTCATCTACACCCGCGCACTCAAAATCCTTCAGGTGCAGGATTCTGACATATCCTTTCAAGATGTCTGAAGAAATCAAAAGCATTGGAACAAGCGCTCATCTCTTCTCTCCAACACTGTAACCAATCCAAACATTATCTTTTTATAAGTGCGAATAGCAAACTTTGAAAAAAGGAGTTTCAACGAACGTTACCACACAACAGAACCTTTTCTAGTTCTGAACGCAATTGCGAAATCTTTCTACGACTATACACCTAATTGAGAATCTGCAAAAATAATTCAAAATTGCTCACAGAGCTCTAAAAAGTTCTTCCAAACACTTTATTTTTTCAGAGCACTGAAACGAAACTACTTTACTATAGTTGCGACAAAAAATCATGACACAATGAGTTAAACACTATCATAAAATGATTTCAATTCAGTGCCAAGTAAACTTCAGGACAAAGGTGTTTATGATTCTGTTCGTTGCACATTGCGCTATATAAGTTTCCATACACGAAGTTTCAGTTCGCTCCCAATTTATCGGTATCCGATATACAGTGTGCTGATTGTCTGGATGAAAACGTGCCGGTGAAGATGTGAGAGATGAAAGGAGATTGAGAGTCACCGTGTTGTTTCGTAATGCATCAGCCAAATGTTGTGTGCCTTCGTCCCCTATTTGATTTTCCCAGAGATCTAATATGGTGAGTGTCTGTATGAAAATATGGTAATGTGTACATGAGAGAGTTAGGGAGAGAATGAAGGTCACCTTGCTATTTCGTAATACTTCAGCAGGATGTTGTGCTCCGCTAGCTCCGATTTGATTGGAAGAGACATTTAGTCTGGGAAGTGTCTGCAAGAAAAAGTGCAGGCGGATACATGATGAAGATAGGATGAGGATAACCGTGTTATTTCGTAAAAAATCAGTCAAATTCTGTAGAAATTACATATTTTCGTAGAAAATAGTCAGTGTAAGGTTTAAGGTCAAGTTTTCGAGACTCCCCCCCCCCCCCCCCCCCCCCCCCCCCTACCACCCACGCCGCCATCAGACACACAACCCAAAAAAAAACAAAAGAAAGA